ATGGTCATAAAAGTTTGGCAGGTGCGAGTATGAGGTAAAGGTTGCAAGAGCCTATCGGTGACACAGACTCAGAAGAAAATACCAGAGGGAGCCTGTTACCGCAAATCTCAAGGTCAACGCGCTGGGGACACGAAACACCCAGAGCTGCAGCGGGCCTCATTGTTACCTTAACTGCTGACGCCCTCGGTAACAGGTCACGGTGGATTTTTAAAACAATACGGAAATAGTCTTAGAAAAATACACGGGCGATGTACACGGCGGCTTCCAGACACAGCCGGCGCGAGTGCGATCGTGGAGGACTAGGGTAAAGCACACGGCGGCCAAAGCCAAGAGCACGGAGAAGGGCGTGGAGCGCCGGGAAGGGACGGACGCCGCCACACACCCGGAGGCGGCGCGGGCCGACCCGACGCCGCGGCGAAAGGGAAGCCCTGTCTGGCCCAGGCCCCGCCGGCTCCCACGTTAGGCTCGTCGCCATCCCGTCCCGTCCCACGCCGCCCCACCAGCTGTTCGTCGTCCGAAGAACGAACGGCCTCCTTGGCTCACCTCACGCGGTCCAGCACAAGTACTCCACCTCAAGCGGGAGGCCCGCCCCGGGCCCGGAGGCCAGCTGCCCGGGAAACGCCTCACTCCGCCATCTTCGCTCCTTCTCCGATCCACCAACCCCGGGGCGGAGGCGCGAAAGGTCCCGCCCCACCTCCGAGTGCTGATTGGATAGCATCTTGCTCGCGCGCTCTCCTTCCGTCGCCGATTGGCTAGAAGGCACATCAATCAGCACGCTTCCCTCTCTGGTTCTATTTTTGTTGTTGGTGGCGCTGTATGCTTCAGGTTAAGTTAATGAGGAAAGGGGTTACTTGTAATTCACTTGAGAAAAAAAAAAAGTCCGATTGGAGGTAGGCTCACTTTTTAGTAAGATAGTGTGGCAAGGCCGAATGACTGTTGTTGGCTTTACTGTTAAAATAAACTGTTATTAGTGATTTCTGTCTTGACCTAAAAAATTTTTATCCCCGGCTTAACATTACACCCAGAGGAACAATTTTCAGGGTTTCCGTTCTTCTGATTTTGACCCATTTAAAATCTCAAAAGCCAGCTGTTTAAAGGTCAACACAAGACCGCCGTTTTCCTCACCTTTGAGGGCCTGTCCGCTGAATGAGACATGTTAAATGGCAGTTTTGTTGTTTCTTCCAACTGAAGGACTTAAAGATCCTTTAGCAATGGTTCCAGGAGAGGCTGGGAAGGCAATAGCGTTACTCGTCCATGCTATGCCAAGAGTAAGCTGTGCTTGCTAAACAGCAGGATTATTATCTACCCCATTTATTAAGTCCAAATTCCTAGGCTGAAGCATCTGTGGTAAGAGCGCTATGCCATGCACGGACAAAACATGGCTGTGCATTTCCAGAATGTCAGAGTCTATTGAATAATAATAAATTCACAAGATACATTGCTTCATTGGCTGCAACTTACCATGCATCTTGATTTCCGTTTATGGCTGGCAGGTGGCAAAGACCTCAAATTTACAATTTTACCACACTGGTTATGTCCTGCGTGCCAACTGAGCAACAATGTCCTCAGCCCAAACACTGGTTCTTCTTCCAGTGTTTACAATGTATCGGATCATCACACTTCACACAGTATTGTGTATATGTACATATGTAGGCTATAGAATGCCTACAAAGGATTACATAAGCCTCTGTGTTCAAAGCAAACTTTGTTTTACTGCGTCCAGACAGTGTTGGTACAAATGGGAAAGAGTCGTTGTAGTTAGCTAGATATTACGGAACCCAGTTAGAAGGCCACAGCCAACTGAGGCCAGCTGAAGGGTCCCGGTGAGCAGCAAAGGAGAGCGATGGTGAAGTGCACGACTGAGTAGGGACAGACGGATGTACAGACAACAGTAATTCAAATGAGCAATATCAAGCAATGGTGCCTTGATCGATTACCAAGGAATGGCAGTTGTGCTAAGCTGAAGCCCAGAGAAGTAGTCTTATCATCCTTAACTCATTTTGTCCTTCCTATTTATATGGGGTATATAGGTGAGGAATGTTCAGTAACATTCCGTAACTCCTGCCTGACTTTTCTATGTGTGTAGTGAAAACTCAGACCTTCATGCATATAACGCAAGCCCTCATCTGAGCTATAGTCTCAGCCCTTTATTTAATATTCCATATCCATGTTTATTTTATTTTTAAATATATTTTTAAATATTTATTTCATGTAAATGAATACTTCATATATACATGTACCACATGTGCACTTGTTGCCTGAGGAGGTTAGAAAAGGGTGTCAGAGCCCACGGATCTGGAGTCACAGATCACTGTGAATCATCATATCAGTATTGAGAATCACACCTGGATCCCAGCACTCGGGAGGCAGAGGTAGGCGGATCTCTGTGAGTTCGAGACCAGCCTGGTCTATAGAGCTAGTTCCAGGACAGGCTCCAAAGCCACAGAGAAACCCTGTCTCGAAAAAAAAAAAAAAAAAAAAAGAGAATCACACCTGGGTCCCTGCATGAGCAGCTCTTAACTGCCGAGCCATCTCTTCAACACATACTTTAAACTTTCAGCAATCCTCCCACCTCTGTCATCTGAATCCCAACTTATTTGGTTAAGTTTATATTTTATACTTTTCCTTTAAATTTTTACTTTTAAGAATCGGCGCTGAAGAATACCACAATCTTTTTAAAAATTATTTATTTTTATATGCATTGGTGTTTTGTTTACGTGTATGCCTGTGTAAGGCTAACAGGTACCCTGAGACAGTTGAGAGCCACCATGTGGGACTTGGGAATTGAACCTGGGTCCTCTGGAAGAGCAGTCAGTGCTCTTAACTGTTGAGCCTACCACACAGTCGTAATGACTGTACATGGCACTAAGTACTCATTGTTGATGTTGTTGTTGTTTTGAGACAGGGTTTCTCTGTGTAACCTTGGATGTTCTGGAACTCACCTTGTAGACCAGGCTGGCCTCGAACTCAGAGATCTGTCTGCCTCTGCCTCCTGAGTGCTGGGTTAAAGACGTGTGCCACCACCACCCAGCCTAAGTAACTCTTGAAATTGATTTCTCTAATATTGTTAACTCTGGTCTTCTACATTTTTACTATACAGTATTCAATTATCATCCAACTATTTTTCTTCCAATTTAACCATGTTGCTCTAATTCTAATTGTTCTTAATAATGAAAACTAGGAGTCAGCTATCAGGGATGAAAGCTCAAGGATCAGAGAAGCAGAGCAGCCAACACTAGAGAGTTCTCACCTCTACCAATGCTCAGACTGAAGGGGTGACCCTGTCTCTATGAAACCCCAGACTGCATCCATGGACTGCCTGAGCTCCTGTCTCCTCCTGCCTTATCTTATTCTTTCCACATAGCCACATTTTAACTCCAGTCTCCCCCTCCCTAGTGCTGGGATTAAAGACATGCAATCCCATGTGCTGGATCACCTTTGTGTGTTTCTCTTTTAGACAGAAATCTCATGTAGCCCTGGGTGGCTTTGATTGAACTCACAGAGATCCACCTGTCTCTGTCTCCCGAGTCTTATGTGCCACCACTGCCCGGCCTCTGTGGCTATCTAGTGGCTTAGTTCTGCATTCTGATCTTCAGGCAAGCTTTATTTGTTAGATTACAAACAATATCACTCCATACCGTGTATATACTACTATTAACATCAAGAATACTGAGCCTATGCCATTGAGCTGACACAAACATGCTTTTATTTATTCACTGTTCTTTGAAACTGGATCTCATACAGAAAACTGACCTTGAGGGGCTGGAGAGGTGGCTCAATGATTCAATGTACTGCCTGTTCTTTCAGAGGGCAGGTCATTCCCAGCAGCCACACGGTGGCTCACAACTATCTGTTACTACAGTTCCAGAGGATGCAGTACCTTCCTCTAGCTACACTGGTACACAGATGTGCATGCAAGCACCCGTGCACATAAAAATAAATTTTAAAAGATGATCTTGAAGTTCTGGTTCCCGTCTCTACCTCCCATGCTGGAATTACAGATGTGTGCTACCATGCCTGGTTTTATACAGTGCTAAGAGCGGAACCCAGAACTTTGTGCACGTTAAGCAAGCACTCTACCAACTTACATCCTCAGCCCTATTTATTTTTAAATTAATTTTGAGAGGTGATGGGTATTTTGTCAACTTGACATAAACTAGTCACCTGGGAAGAGGGAACATTCTCCATTGAAGAACTGTCTCCATCAGATTGGCCTAGGGACATATTTGTGGGGACATTCCCTTGATTAGTGATGGATATGGGAGGGCCCAGCTCACTGTGTATGTGCCAATCATGGACAGAGACCTATGCTATGTAAGAAAGCAAGAATACCCAGGTGGTGATGGTCCTCACCTTTAATCCCAGCACTTTAATCTTGGGAGGCAGAGGTAGGTGGATCTGAGTTTGAGGCCAACCTAGTCTACATTGTGAGTTCTAGGATAGTCAGAGCTACACAAAGAAATCCTGTCTCAAAAAACAAAAACAAAGAATGAAAGTAAGATGAACAAATTATGGGAAGAGAACCCCAAGCAGTGTTCCTATGTGACCTCTGCCTTAGCTCCTGCCCTGACTTCTTTTGATGATGGATTGAAGTAAGTTGAAATAAACCATTTCCTCCCACGAACTAGATCTGGCCAGTGTTTATTGACACGAGGTTAACATCCAGAGGTTTTATTGTGGCAACTTTGTCTGACAGTTAAAAGGGCTTTGCAGGGTCGATGTGACAGCTGAGAGGTTATGAACACTTACTGCTCTTGCAGAGTACCTGGGTTCTTGTCTCAGCACCCATACAGTTGTTCACAACTATTCCTAACCCAAGTTCAGGGGATATAATACCCTCTTCTGACACCCATAGGCATCAAACATACACACAGTAAATATAAATACATGTAGAAAAACACTCATATGTATAATATATATATTATATATAATAAGAGATAAATAGGCCTTGCAATATGTGAAGAGCGATGTGACATTTACTTCTTTGCCCAAAATTCAGCTTATCGGTGCTCATCAACTTGCTTCACACAGCTTCCCAAACCACACGATTTCTTGTGAAATCTTTTGGAAAATATTACCAAATAGAAAGAGGACTGTCTCTGCAGGCCATCCTCGGCCCTTGTGCACACTGCCATTTGCACCTTCCCCTTCTGTAGGGAACGGAAGAAGGTCTGAGTGAGTGAAGTCCTGAGTGAACATGATTTTCACATGGACCAATTGAGCAATTTTGCAAAGCTGTTACCCGTATGGAAATGGCAAAGCCTTCCTGGGGAATCTGAGAACAAATGCTGTTGGAAATTGATCAGGGTGTACAGACTAGCAACCAGACCTTTCTCCTTCTAGATGTTTATTGCCAGAGACTGCTCCTACAGAGACCTCCTAGAGACTAGCTAAGCCCTCCATCCTGCCCTGTCATAGCTTTATCATATGTGTGCATGTGTATTTGTCCTTTGTTTCCTAGAATCCCCTCGTCTGGACCCAAGTCAGACACAGCACCCTTTTTTCTCCAGCACCTTTTCCTCCACTTCTGACTTCTTGGTGATTACAAGGATAACAGAAATGCCCTTGGTGTTAAGTATAAATGATTTCACAGAACATTTCTCTCGGCAAACACAAATTACAGGCTGCTTCAGCTCCCTACCCACAAAAAGATGTGGCACATAACACACTTAAAATAGCACGTTCATTCTTTGAAACTGATTCAATTTTGAGAAAACGATAAACTTCTCCATGGCTAGTCTTCCAAATGACATCCTATAGAACACGCTATAATGGCAGTGAGAAATCTGTTCTTACACTGAAGGCTGGGAAGAGACAACTCCTCCTCCCGAGAAGCTGAGCACCATAACCAGGAATGCTGGCACACTCTTACTATACCCAAAGAAGCAGATGGATCTCTGAGTTCATAGCTAGCTTTATCTATGTCTTGAGTCCCATACCATCCAGGGCTACACAGTAAGACTCTGCCTCATAAATAAATAAGGAATTCAGCAAAATGACAGGTTTTTTTTCCACAGTGCTGTTTTTAGATTGCAAGCTTTCAAGTCTTATCATCAAACATTTAAAAAAAATATTTATTTATTTATTACATATACAGTGTTCTGCTTGCATGTATGCTTGGATCTCATTATGGATGGTTGTGAGCCACAATGTGGTTGATGAATTGAACTCAGGGCCTCTGGAAGAGCAGCCAGTGCTCTTAACCTCTGAGCCACCTCTCCAGCCCCCATCAAACATTTTTTTTTTCATTTCAAGGCCATAAGAAAACCAGACAGGAATTGGTGGGCTCTGTCCTCCAAATATGCAGGTATGATCTAGTCTGAATAATATACAGTAGTATTCAATTTCCTCTTATAATATTGCCAGGAGGGGCTGGAGAGATGGCTCAGCGGTTAAGAGCATTGCCTGCTCTTCCAAAGGTCCTGAGTTCAATTCCCAGCAACCACATGGTGGCTCACAACCATCTGTAATGAGGTCTGGTGCCCTCTTCTGGCCTTCAGGCACACACACAGAAAGAATGTTGCATAAATAAATAAATAAATATTAAAAAAAATATTGCCAGGAATCTTTCATATCTTTCATTTAAGAAAATTTCCATTGGTGTTTAAGCTTATAAGCACCAGTACATTTTAGACTTTGAACGTCTTTTAGAAGTTTTTGTTTTTTTTTTTTTTCCCCAATTTCTGTGAGTTCGAAGTTAGCCTGGTCTACAGTGAGTTCCAGGACAGCTAGAGCTGTCACACAGAGAAACCCTGAGTCAAAAAACAAGAGATTTTATTTTTAACCGCATGTGTTTGTATGTGTTAATTGAGTATAGGTGTGAGCAGAAAGGCCAGAGCACTGGATCCTCTGGAGCTGAAGTCACAGCACTTCTGAGCTTCCCAACATGGATGCTAAGAACTGAACTCTGATCCTCTGCAACAGCAGTGTGTTGACTGCTCAGTCGTCCCTCTGACCCCACTGGTTGTTTTATTGCTTTGAGTAGGGTCTACTATAGCATCAACTGACCTCAAACTTGAGTAGTGGGGCATAGACTTGAACTCCTGAGCCTCCTATCTCTGTCTTCAAAGTGCTAGAATCACCAACTAGCTCCACCACAATGAGCTTTGAAGCCTTTCTTTTGTAAATTTGTGAGACCTGTAGGCATAGTGAATTACTAAGATTATTGATTTATACTAGAATGTTCATAATACCGGATTTTTGTTTTCTTTTTTAAAAATGTTTTATATAAATGAATATTTTAACTGGTGTATGTATGTGCACACGTGTGCTTGAAACCACCAGAGGCCAGAAGAGGGTGCAGATACCCTGGAACTGGAGTTAAGGAACAGCTGTAAAGCCACTGTAGGTGCTGGGAACCCATCCCTGGTCCTCGGCAAGAGCAGTCAGTGCTCTTAACCTCTGAGCCGTCCCTCCAGCTCATTTTTTTTCTTTCCATGAGACAAAAAAGAAAATATATTGTATCTTACTTGGAATTAATATTAAGAGGTCACAGATGATGAGCCCTTAGATGAACATCTCTATGTCACAAGCCTACACAGAAGTAATGGATTCCTGCAACTGATACTCTAAGCATAAATCTGAGAAAGGGAGACACTATATTATTTCAAGTTTAGGACTCTTGAGTTACATAAAATTGATATAAAACAGATAAAAGTCAACCAAATTCTTTTGTTTTAATGACAATTAATTTATTGATGGATTGAAGAATACAATTTTAATGGGACAATAAGGCACAACTGTGGATTAAAACAGTTTGCTACACAGCCAAGGGGGGCATAATCTTAGAAACTTTAAATATGTAAATCAAGAAGCCTCTGAAGTACTTCTCAGATCAGTATCAGACAATTCTTTCTTTCTTTCTTTCTTTCTTTCTTTCTTTCTTTCTTTTTTGGTTTTTCGAGACAGGGTTTCTCTGTGGTTTTGAAGCCTGACCTGGAACTAGCTCTTGTAGACCAGGCTGGTCTCGAACTCACAGAGATCCACCTGCCTCTGCCTCCCAAGTGCTGGGATTAAAGGCGTGCGCCACCACCGCCCGGCCAATTCTTTCTTTTTATACAATTCTTATATTACATCATTTGATCACAAAGTCAGACAGATATTTCATAAAGAATTCCCCAATTCATGTAGACTCCAGCAATCCACCCTAGCCACTCCCCTGCATCACCTTTACCCATTCCTTTTGCAGTGTTTTTGTTTGAGTTAATAGCAAATTTTTTTCCTAAAGAATTGTTTATACATCTTGGATAGCCTTCCAAAGCAAAGAAGCAAGCAAGCGAGCAACATCAGAGAAAGCCAGCCAAGAGCAGATTTACAGACATAGGACAGAAGCAGCCTGATGCAGTGAGGTCTAAACCAAGCTGACACTGGCCCAAAAGTTGAGCTGGGTCACTCAACAACCTCTAGTATCACTTCAGTTGGTGTCACCGGGGCCAGGCCTTCTGCTCTGAAGGGATCTGCAGTGGTCTACACAAGGAGCTAGACGGTCATGTGATGAGGACGTTCATGAGACAATACATTCACTGCTTTATGAACTGACTACACAGCTGCCAGCATTAAAATTTGCCAAGTATAAAATTCATTCGGAATTTTGTGCAAAACATTAAGACACTGAGGACAATTTAATTCTTCTAATTCTTTAGGACTGAGATGAGTCAGGCACTTCCACAACACTTGTCTTTCTGTTTGGAAATATGAAGAGTCTTCCAGTGTACAGAACACTGAGGCAAAGCCCATGCTGCAGGGCAAACGTGGACAGCTCTCCAGGGTGTCTAGCCTCTTTAGAAAACTACAAGGCCCCCTACTGTACTGTCATAATGGCTACTCTATTGGTGACAATGTCCCAAAGAGAAGCAAACTGGCAGGCATAAGACTAATTCTGAATGTCAACACTGTACTCAGAAAAGAGGCCATATAAATATGTTGAAAATAAAAAGCCAGAGGTAGAGAGACCTGGGGAAACCACCTAGGAAATATGGCTCTACAAGCCTCACGGTGACGCCACCTTTCAGGAACAGCCCTGTGACGAGAGCAGCTCAGGGGACTGAGTCACATGCTTTCCAGGACTTGTACTGGTTGCTGAAAAGCTCCTGGACAGCAGTGCCCCAAAGACACATCCAGGAGAAGGTAGCTATAAACCACCAGACCACTCACTATCCTGCCAATCACAGACAGACTTGACAGCAGAGCCTGGAGTCTAGCAGAACACAGGGAATCCTGATGAAAAGGAGGGAGGCCCAAAGACCAAATGGAGAGAAGGCTGGGTGACAGAGAAGTAGGAAGTAAAGGACACAAAAAGGAAACAGGAACATGACGGAGGCTCGATGAAGGGAAGGCAGCATGGATATGGTCTCCATCCAGTGGGAGCTTTGCTGGCTGGTTCTTGATATGAGTCCTATTTCATTTCCTCAGACAGGATGGATGCATGGCATTCAGCAGCAAAACAAGGGAAGATGATACTTACAACAGAGACCTGGTGGGTGCATACTGGACAGAAATAGACCAAGGGTACCATTCTGAACGCCCTGTTTATACACCAAAGGCAAGTCTGTGTGGACAGGAGAGACTTCGGGTTGTCATGCAAGAGCAGTAGTTTTATGGGAAAAGGGAATAACAAGATGGGAGTGGGGCAGACAGACAGAATGACGTTCCAGTTCTTAAATACTAGAAAGCAAGAATAATTTGGTCCCTGTCCTTTAGTGAAGAAACCGGATGCTCATTTTCTGTTCTACATCCACCTTCTCCAAAACCTGGAGTTGAAAAACAAAGAAGCAGAAAAATAATTTATCATGAAGATTATGACCATTCTGAGCACCCTTCCTCGTCTTATGCAACAGGATTTAACTGAATACTAAATGGTAAGGGAAAAGGTTCAAAAAGGCACACCCTTCTCTGAGGACACACAGGGAGCTATGGGTGCTGGGAAGAGACATTTTCTTCAGTAGTATAGCCCTTCATAAGTTCCCCATATTCCTCTAAGTAACCCCAATTAAACTCTTATCTTCACCCCTTCAAAAAGACATGAACAAAAAAGAAGATAAGTTGAGAATAAGGGAATCAGCAAGCAAGGAGGAGACAGAATGAATACGATAAAAAATGTATAAAATATTATAATAAAACTCACTATAAATAATCAACATATGCTAATAAAAAGAACTTGAAAGGAAAAAAATCGGAATGTAGTGGTCAGACCTTAACAAATTCTGTAAAGGATATGGCACTGTCTCCATCCTGATCAGCCTCCTGGATGGTCCTGTCCGCAATGCTGCCCAGCTGCTCGTCTGAGATATTCACTCCAACCATCATTCGTAGCACCTGCAAGACCAGGAGTCTTAAAGGAGACTCGAGAAAAAGCCGCCTCAACTCTCCTTTCCTTTGATTCCTTCAAATTTACCAGCTAGAGAATGAAATCCTTAGCTTCTTATCTAGGCCATTCTAAAAAAGGGAGTGAGTGGAACTCCAGCAAAGTCACGAAGTGTCTTCTCCATATGGACAGAAACGGATTCCTTCTGCTTGGACTATAGGCATGATGTCTGCTGGCACAACAGCCATACTGGGGCTATGAGGTCCATCACAAGCATTATAAATTCCATACCAGAACTGAGCAGAAGTTGGGAGACTCAGACACTGTGAAACCCAGACAACCTATCCCTGGGTGTACTGCACCAGGCAAAGCAGTTCTTTACTAAAGTCAGTCAATTTGGTGGGTTGTTCTAAAATCTAAAAGCAGTCCTCCATGTGGCGGGGGGGGGGGGGGGAATTAAGCTTTTATTACAGGCTATAGCCACATAACTCTCCTTGAAGACTACTTGGGAGGCTGATGTGGGATGATTACAAGTTGAGTCCAGTTTGGGTGAACTTAGTGAAGATCTTTTAAAAAATGGAGTGTTGCCAGGTGCATGCCTTTAATCAATCCCAGCACTCAGGAGGTAGAGGTAGGCAGATCTCTGTGAGTTCAAGGCCAGCATGGTCTAGAGAGCAAGTTCCAGGACAGCCAAGGCTGTTACACAGAGAAACCCTATCTTGAAAAATAAAAACAAACAAACAATTATAATAAAAACATGGGGATGTCTGAGATGGTGCTCAGTGGGAGAATGCTTACCTAGCAACACAAGGCCCCAGTACCACACATATGCAAACATGGTACCTTAAACTAGTAACTTCAATGTCCTCTTGCCTAAAGGCTCATGGGCCTTCCTTTCTCCATTCCTTTACATCCTCTGGAAATATTAAATTGCAGAGCAGTGGGTTTCTATTATTTACCAACTATTTTTGTTGAGGTGGGGAGCAAAGGAGGACTGTTTTTCAGACAGGCTTGACTTGCTATGCTGCTCAGGCTGGCCTTAATTGCCTAGACTCCAACAATCTTCCTTAGTTTGTCAAGTAGCTACTACCAATTATATATACAACCTCAAAAGCCAAAAGTTTTGTTGGAGGGTGGTGGTACATGCCTTTAAACATTTTAGAGGCAGAGGCAGGTGGATCTCTGCGAGTTCAAAGCCAACCTGATCTACAGACCAAGTTCCACAACAGCCAAGGCTACACAGAGAAACCCTGTCTCAAAACCCCTACAAGCTGTGGCTCAGTTATTAAGAGCACTGGCTGCTCTTCCAGAGGAAGAGGGGATTTCATGTCCAGCACCTACATGGTGGCTTACAACTGTCTGTAATTCTAGTTCTAGAATGCACTCTTCTGGCCTCCCTGAGAACCAGTCATGAACATGAGTTAACTCAGCAGATGGTGACAACAGTCCCTTAACTCTGATACCAAATCTACAGAGAGACTAAACAGAATTGACTTCAGAGTCCTTGGGATTAAATTATTGCTATCAAGCCGATCTGTTAATAACCGTCCTAGCCACACTGTGTATTCCCCCGTCACTCAGCCCCGCAGAGACAGTCAGGTGTTCAGTGGTGGCGACTGCCCATCCATGAAGACTTAGTGACCCATTTCCAGGGTTTCCAGGACTTCTCTGCTTTTTTTCCTGCAACAGGATCTCTCCAAGGCAGGGACTAAATGATGGTTACTGAAATGAAAGAACTGCTGCTCATGACAGTAAAGTCAGGGCCCCAAAGACACACTGTTCCGAAACTGGTTTCCTACATACCTGTAACAGCTCATCACGGGAGATCTTGTCATCTTTATCCAAATCATACAGTCTGAAAGCAACTGGGAGGAAAACACAATAAGTCAGTGGGCAATCTGCAGTGCTTTGTCCTTTCTCAAGGAGCTGAGCACACAAAGGACAGTAGACAGAAGACTGACATCCAATAAAGAACTTACGTCAGAATTCAGATTTCCTTAGGAAAGAACTGGAATGCTTTTTCTTTTTTGCTTTTTGAGACAGAATTCTCATGTAGCCAAAGCTGGCCTTATGCTTGATTCTCAGCTACAGCTTGAACTTTTGAACTTTCTATCTCCACTTCCTCAGAGCCCAGCAAGACCCAGAGTTTTTAATAAAATCAACAAGACTCTGATGCCTGTATATCCCCACCATAATGCTATGGTAAAGCTCAACAGTATTTTAGCACTTTTGTTAAAAAAATCTTCCCTGGCTCTAAGAACAAGATTCACTTCAGTGATTCTCAAATGGAGCCATAAATGCCAACAAAAGGGAACACATATTCTTCCCAAGAAGATGAGCAAAGGCTAACAGCCACCAACTAGAACTTAATGAGGCATTTGTTAAATATACGAAATGCAGAATTATGTAATCTAACTTATTTGTATTTGTTCTAATATTTAAAAACCTCTAGTAGCTTTAAATCATCATGGGCTCCATTAAATCTGTGGCTTCACAAACTCCTGGGCTCCACCATGCATTCTTTCAAGGCAGGGTTGGGCTCAATTAGTTTCATATAATTTCAATATCAACTTGTGTTGAAAGAAAGTAGAAATTCAACTTCAACTTCCTGGAAAAGTGTTGTAAGATACTGGGCAACAGTCCATGAACTAACAAGGGCAGAAGGAAACCTAGTAAGTATCTAAAGAAAGGAGGCAAGAGGTAACAGGCCAAGAAAATCAAACATTGCCTCTATTACTGGAACTTTAGTCAAATCCATAATCTACCAACAGAAGAGATCGAGGACCAACATAATCTCTCATAGGCAGTGCCGAGGGCTTGATCCCATGCTCCCCGTTGTCATTCTAGTACCTTCTACAGTGCCTGGTGTACAAGAGATAATGAACTATAATAGCGGTAACACTTACTGAATATATACAGTACCTGTATATACAAGGTGCTGTTTGAAGCACTTGACATACATTAATTTTACAAGAGGAAGAACCTCTCAGTGGGGACGACAGATGTGGCTCAGCAGTCAGAGTGATTACCTGGCATATTTTATGCCTTGGGCTCTATTATAAGCCCTCAAAAATAAGGTGTGGTGCTACATGCCAGGAATTTCAGCACATGGGAGGTGGAAATAATGGAAGAAGAAATTCAAACCAGCCTTAGCTACATAGTAAGTTTGAGGCTAGCCTAGGAAACATGTGTTCCATCTCTAATAGCACCAAAATCAATGAATGAGCTATGAAAATGATCTATAAAATCCCTTAATATCTTATTTTCCACAAGAGAAAACTGCAGCCCAAAGATCTCAGGTAACCTGTCTCATGGGCAAAAAATGGTAAACCAGGGAATTCCCACTCAGCTTAGCTCCATGGTCTGACCACTTAGCACTCTGCTTTTATAAAGCTGACAGAGTAAATGAGCTCACAGATGATGAGGATGAGGAAGAAATACATTAAGCCACACAACTGATGCTCCTTACAGTGCAGTTTGTTGCTTCGGCTGTTGAGTGGTTCAGGTCCATTCACATCTTTGCTCTTTTCGTTATCCTCAATGGGTCGAAAATGAGCCAAAGTTCTCATGAATCCTCGGAAGTTTACCTGGTCCTCTCTATTTGGAAACAGAACAGAACATCATGTCAATCCAGGTGGGCTCAGAAATTCAGGGGCACTGATGACTGAGTTTAATCCTCAGAACCCACACAGTGGAGAAAACTGATTCCTGGAAGTTGTCCTTTGATCTCCATGTATGTATGCCTATAACGCACACACATACACACGCACACACACACATACACACACGGGGGGGGGGGGATGTAATAAAAAATAAAATAGCAATAACACAAAGGAAACAACTTTAAAATTGAATAAATGAATATTTAACAGTTAAAGGGTGACCCATGTGACTTGTTTACTTAAGACAATCCTATCAGTCTCAGGCGGCCTGCTTCCTAGAGCTACCCAAAAAAATTCTGCCAGGCATAGTGGCACATACCTTTAATTGTAGCATTTAGAGACAGAGACAGGTAGATCTCTATAAATTCAAGGCTTGCCTGATCTACATAGTTCCAAGCCAGCCAAATCTACACAGTCCAAGAACCTGTATCAAAAAAAAAATAAAAACAAAACAAAATCCCAGGCTTAGCTGGATAATCTCAGCATTTAGGAGGCAGCAGTAGGAGAATTCTGAATTTGAGTTCATTTTGTACTGCAAAAGGGACCATGTTTCAATAAATGTGACAGGCAGTGTCGCTAAGTGTCAGGTAGACACAGTTTGGAGACCTACTAATGGGAGAGATCAAGGGAAGGCTAGCTCAAAAGGATGAGCTTTGTTTCCTTCATGGAGTAGGATAGTATCTGCACCAAAATGTAAGCTCTGAGCAACCAAGCAATATGGATTAACACTTGACCATATGCCTGGGGCATGGGGGTAATGCTATTAGCATAATGTCTATGTAACAGAATGAAACACCTATGTTCTACTATCAAATTTTAATCTGAACAAAAGAAAAGAAAACAAAAAAGAACAGAAAAATTCTTCCATTTTAAGATAAGAAAAATACAAGCCTGGGAGTCAAGCAGCCATGTCTGATAAGAACAGGAAGCAGTGGCACAGGCTGTGTATGCCTGGACACAGAAGCCATGATACTCTTAGCAGCAGACCAGAGAAGATGGCGGGTAGTAACCAAAGTCAGAGGAAATACAGCTTTGCCTTTCAAAACAGACTTCGAGGGCTGGTGAGAGGACTCAGTGGGGGCAGGCTTTTCCAAGCCTTGGTGATATTTGAGTTCATTCTCCAGAATCCAACTGGTGCAGAGGAAAACTGAGTCCCGAAAGTTGCCCTTTAATTTACATAAAATAAATACATGCTTTAAGAAGAAGAAGAAGGAAGAGGAGGAGGAGGAGACTTCCACAAGATGTTTCTTCAAGTAACTGATGGTGACTAAGGAACTCTGAAAAAGACGTTGACAAAACGACCTGACGTTGCAAACGGTTTGTGTATAAAGTACATCTGTGAAAACGTGTCTGGGTGGGGTGCAATGCTCTGCTGGCTCGCAAAGCACACATGACAGTGGTTCAGGCGGCAAGGAAGGCAGAGTGAGAGCAGAAGACTGTTCAGATTCAACAGGACTCTGAATTGAGTGCGTCTTGGTCTGACTGGATTCCTGCCACCCTTTCTGACCTAACTGGCCTTGAGTTTTATTACTTGATTAAAAAAAAAAAAAAAAAAAAGCAAGCCGGGGGCGGTGGTGGCGCACGCCTTTAATCCCAGCACTCGGGAGGCGGAGGCAGGCGGATCTCTGTGAGTTCGAGACCAGCCTGGTCTACAAGAGCTAGTTCCAGGACAGGCTCCAAAACCACAGAGAAACCCTGTCTCGAAAAACCAATTAAAAAAAAAAAAAAAAAAGCAAAATTTTTATGTTTATGGGTATTTTGCTGGTATGTATGACTATGGACCGTGTGTGTGTATCAGCTAGTTTTTTGTTTGTTTTTCGAGACAAGGTTTCTTCTGTTTAACAGCCCTAGCTGTCCTAGAAATAGCTCTGTAGCCCAGGCTGGCCTTGAACTCACAGAGATCCAGAGATCCGCTTGCCTGTCTCCCCAGTGCTGGGAAAAGGTGTGCATCATCACCACCCACATCCGGGCTAGTTTTTATATCAACCTGATGTAGACTAGAGTCATTTAGGAAGAAAAAAAATCCCACACTGGCCTGTAGGCATGCCTTCGAGGTATTTTTAAAATTAGTGACTGACGTGGGAAGGCCCAGCACATTGTGGGTGGTGCTACCCCTAGGCCCATGGTCCTGAATAGCATAGGAAAACAGACTGAAGCCTCAGTGGTGGCTCATGTCTTTGGAGGCAAAGGCAGGCAGATCTCTGAGCTCTATGCCAGCCTACACCATTTCAAGACAGCAGGAATATACAGAGAGACTCTGTCTTGGGGTGGGTGGGGGTAGGGTGGTGAGAAAGAAAGAAAGAAAGAAAGAAAGAAAGAAAGAAAGAAAGAAGAAAGCAAGTAAACAGGCTGAGTAAGCCATGGGAGCAAGCTATGTGTGTGTATATAGCTATATACAGCTATGTACACCCATGCATACATACATATACACATATATATGTATACATAATAAATAAATCTTAAAAAAAACACTATTTCAAAATAAAAGAATAACATTAAAAAAAGATTAAGTTTTAGAAGGGATGACTTCTAAGCAAACAAATACTGAAGCATTCAGAGGTAAATGAATGCAATTTATCATCAAACAGTTAAATAAGAGTATATGAACATACACACATTTCTGTAATACGTAATGTGAAAAAAGACTATGTATACATGTATTATATGCCTGTGTTTATGTATATATGATCTCAAAAATATCAGCGGGAGAAGACCAAGGAAAGGAGAGAGAAAAGAAGGGAGAAGGGAGGGTGTATTTATGAGTATGTGGGTAGAAGGCTAGGGAAATGGCTTAGTGGTAAAGCATTTGTCTAGTATACATCAATACACATGCTTGATCCTCAGCACCACCAAAGAAAAAAAGCAGATATGGAAGAGCAAGAGCAAGAACATACTTTTAATACCAGAACTCAGGCGGTAGAGGTGTGCAGAACTCTGTGAGTTTGAGGCCAGCCTGGTCTATAAAATGAGTTCCAGGTCACCTAGGACTATACAATGAAAGCTCCCATCTCAAAAGAAAGGAAACAACCAGAAATAGCTTGGAGGGGAGGCAGTATCAAGGGAGAAACAAACGACCACAAACTCAGATGCACTGTCCAACACTTTAACAGCAGTAATGTGCTGTGTGCTGCAAATTATGTGTTAGACTTCAATTTCTAACATTAAAAAATATAAAACAGGGAGCCGCACGGATGACTAAATGGTTGAGAGCACCTGTGTTTCCTGCAGAGGACCAGGTTTGATTCCCAGCACCAACATGACAGCTCACAGCCATCTACAATTCCTGTTCGAGCAGATCTAATACTCTCTGATGGTGCTATACAGGTGGTATACACACACACACACATACACACACACACACACACACACACACAAGTAATACAAGAAAAAAATCAAGGAGGGTGGAACAAGAGATAATCTAGATATGAAAATTAGGGATGTACAATTTAACTCTGGGTAACCATGACCTAAAATGACAACTATCATTATTCTACATTAGCAATTAATGGAGGCCAGACAACAAAAAAAGGAGCCAAACCCAAGGGCTGTCCAACCACAGCCATTCCAACTCACCCCTCTGAAAAGAAAGCATTGATGATCCGGTCCCCCAATGGGTTAATGGCAAGTTCTGGAATCCTCTGGAAATCTTCCCGGCTGCCAAGAGAATCACCTTAAGCTAGAGACCACTGGCCTCTGACATGAACTTCTTAAAGCCAACAGAATACAACCCAGTAAGAATAGTGCCTCCTGGAATTACTTCTGAGGCACATGATACAAGTAATTAAATATCTGCCAAGTGGGTTTTGCACCAACTCAGATGTGAATGAAGCTAGATTTAATCTTGCTACATTCCAGTATGTTCAGCAAGCCAGTCATATCAATAAACCAAACAATGAGCAAATAGTTAAGTTGTTCCTTAGTAAATGATTTCCTGAACATTACCATTCTGTAGTTGTTAATTGGCCCTGAGAACAGCAAACACACAATCATCTACTGCAGAGCTTGAATGGAGGAGCAGACAGCTGGAGGAGCCTGTAGACACTTGCTTGGGAAGAGCTAAATCACCAATGAAATGCAAAAATTTCTATCCTTTTTTGGTTTTCAAGACAGGGTTTCTCTGTGTAACAGCTCTGGCTGTCCAGAAACTCACTGTACAGACCAGACTGGCCTTGAACTCAGTGATCTACCTGTCTCCCAAGTGCTGGGATTAAAGGTGTGCACCACCATTGCCCAGCAAGATGCAAGGAATTCTTGAGATGTTTCCATTCAAGAAAAGAATTACAGGGTATGGTGATATTTTGTCTGTGCTCTAACAAATAAAGTTTGCCTGAAGACCAGAGAGAAGAGCTAGCCACTATTTAACTATAGAGGTCTGAGGTCTGTACAGACAGACAGGAAGTGATATGGCTGACGGAGAAGAATATAAGGCAGGAGGAGACAGGTAGGTGCTCAGCCCTTTTTCAGCTGAGGAGTTAGAAAGGTAAGAGTGGGCTGTGGCTTGCTCCTTTGTCTCTCTGATTTTTCAGCATTTACCCCAATATCTGGCTCTGGGTTTTTTTGTTTTTTAAATTTATTTATTATGTATACAGTATTCTCAGTATTCTGTCTGCAGGCCAGAAGAGGGCACCAGATCTCATTACAGATGGTTGTGAGCCACCACGTGGTTGCTGGGAATTGAACTCAGGACCTTTGGAAGAGCAGGCAGTGCTCTTAACCACTGAGCCATCTCTCCAGCTCTGGCTCTGGGTTTTTATTATTAAGACCAATTAGAACTCATGCAACAACAGGGCATAGTGGATCACACCTATGGTCCCAGAACTTGGAAGCCAGCCTGAGCTATATAAGTGAGTTCTAGCACAGTTTAAACTACAGAGCGAGACTCTCTCATGGTTTCCCAAGAAACAAACAAAAAGAGAGGGAGAGAAAGAAGGAAGGAAGGAAAGAAGAAAGAGGAAATAATTCTTTCAAGCATGAGAACTGAGGAAGATTTAACCTTGAACATGGTAAGAGCAATCAGCTTCACATAACATAGAGGCTATGACATTCATTATACATACATCTTGCGCAGATCTACTGCTCCAACTTGATATAGTATCACACCTATTTTCACGTCATACTTTATCTGTGCCCTTGTAGAGCTGAGGAAACTGAATTAGAGACACCAAGTAACTTGCCCTCGCCACAACTAAAGGCAGAAGTGGTTTAAATCTAAGACTTTAAGTCGAAATTTTTTGTAAGAAAAAGTTTCTCACATTGTTTTTTAATTAGAGTACTGCAGACCAGTTTCCTGCCTCAGCCTCTGAGTACTGGGATTACAGGATGTGTTACCACACTCAGCCCACAGGACTAGAACAGAAGCCACCTACATTTATAGGGAGTGGGAAGAGAGCAGCAAAAGTCTAGCCATGGCCGGCGGTGGTGGCGCACGCCTGTAATCCCAGCACTCGGGAGGCAGAGTGAGTTCGAGACCAGCCTGCTCTACAAGAGCTAGTTCCGGGACAGGCTCTAAAACCACAGAGAAACCCTGTCTCAAAAAAACCAAGAAAAAAAAAAAAGTTTAGCCACGAATTAGCATCACTGGTCTGGCTTATTTAATCCCTCGGTGGACCAATGATCTGTAGACACCATGGCCCAAGTGGTCCTTGCCCTCAAAATGCAAGATACTTAGTGTGCCTACCCTTAGGATAAAGACAGCTGCTAGGGAGTTCCTGGTTTTGGGGGGAAAGGAAGTACTCACCTGAGAGTCCCATTCTCCCCTTTGTCCAGGCTGGTGAACCGGCTGTACAGGCGCGTGATCTGACTGTGGGAAACTAAAGAGCACAAAATTAGTACCAATTGAAGAAGGAGACAGGCATTTACACTACACCCACAGCCTGCCACATGCTTTAGTGTGGGGGATAGGAGGGGCGGTGAAGCTTTTCTAGAATGTCAAAACAGCAAATTTAAAAAAAAAAAAAAAGGAAGAGCTGGAAAAGAAACTAAATCAAATGCAATGAAAACTGGCTCTAAAAATGAAGTGTAGGCAGCCAGGCAGTAGTAGCAAAGGCCTTTAATCCCAGCACTCAGGAGGCAGAGGCAGGCGAATCTCTGTGAGTCCAAGTCCAGGCTGGTCTACAAGAGCTAGTTCAGGAACAGCCATGGATACACAGAGAAACCCTGTCTTAAAACTTCCCCCATCTCCCCCATCCCACCCTGCTACCAGAAGAAGGAGGAGGGGGAGAATTATAGAACTCTTTTTAAAAAACTGTTAGAGGCAAAGACTACAGGTCAGTTGCAGAGTATTTGCTTAATAGTATGATCCCTAACACACACACACACACACACACACACACACACACACACACACCACTCCATGTGAAATAAAGTTAAAGGAAAAAAGACAATCCAACTCAAACCTATTAGTTAGCTTGGCTCTTCGGACTGCAATTTCTAAGTAGATAACATTGAACTAAATATTGGGGCACATCAAACATTTCTGTTTTTAAAGTCTGGTTTCCTTCTGCACCAAGCATCTACAACGTCACCTCTTCTTCAGGACTTCATCAGGTGACAGACCACCACAACCTGGAATCGGCTTGTTTGCTGTGACCAAATGACATCTACAAGAGAAGGCGGTGCTCCTCATCTTGTATGACTCCAGGACAGCTAAGAGCAGTCTATAACTGCAGACATCCAACACAACAGTGGGAACGCACTGCTGGGAAACAGTCTTCTAGCAGACTGAGGCAAGGGGAGAAAGCGGTGACCACAGGCGAAAAGACTACAGCCCCAGTAGGTCACAGTTTCAGACTGTCTCCGCTGCACCCCTTAGGCAATAAGGGTTAAGGGAAGTGTGGTTCTGTGGTTGTCCTCCTGGAGCTCAAGCAACAACACTGGACTCACTGTGTTAGGAACAATGAAACAAAGTAAACAAGGCAGGGGGTGAAACAAGAAGTGAATGATGGGGCAGAGATGAGAGAAGAGGGCACACCAGGTCAGCTGTGACCTCTTTGGCATTAGCTTCCTCTTTGACATGGAGCTGGGAGAACTCAGGTGTGCAGAGAGCAGAGGAGTACAGCTGCTGAGGCTTCAGCTGGAGACTCTGTTGCCAGGAAGCTAGGCCGACAGATTCTAAGTCCATTCATGGCGCCACACCGGGAAAGTGAGTGGGGCACACACTTGGACAGCCAGGTAGACAGATTCTAAGCCCATTCACGCACCACAGGGGGTAGGTGAGCGGGAATGTGAGGAGCTGATGAAAGGAAAAGGCTTGGCAAAGCGCCTGGCATTCGGAAAGCACACCAAGTTAACCATTAGTGTCACCTCAGCACCCCTTCAGGAGCGCCGGAAGGGACAGTTTATACTGCTATGCTAACTTCGCTCCACTTTCTTGACCATGCCAGGCACAGCTGCTTTCTTTAGGAATCTGATCAGTTTATCCAGGCCTGGCATCTGGCCTCAAAGGTCAGATGGTCTGTCACCTTACTACTCTTGTAATAAATTCCTTAGTTGAGCAAAACTAAGCCAGTTAAAGAATAACTATATTTCCCAAAAAGTTTGGAAAAAGAAATGTTTACCATCTCAACATTTTTTCCATTTTATTAATTTTCCATCTAATATCATTTGTGTACTTAAATCTGATAGCTTAATTTCCTTTTTTTAATAATTTATTTTTATGTTATGTTCATTGGTGTTTTGCCTGTATGTATGTCTATATGAGGATGTCAGGTTCCTTGGAACAGGATTTACAGACAATTGTGAGCTGCCATGTAGATACTGGGAATAGAACCTGGGTCCTCTGGAAGAGCAACCAGGGCTCTTAACCACTGACTATCTCTCCAGTCCCCTAATAGCTTAATTTTCAATTAGTAGTTCATGACCTTTCACACTGATGTTGAGTATTTTAAAAATGTTTATTTTTTTATTATGTTTCTAGGTCTGTGCAAGTGAGTGCTGATGCCCTCAGAAGCCAAAGGAATTGGAGCCCCTGGACTAGAGCTATAGGTGTTTGTGAGCTGCCTAACATGGATGCTAGGAACCAAACTCAGGGCCTTCTGGAAGAGCAGGATGCATTCAACCATGGAGCCATCTTTTCCATCCTGGTTTTGCACTATTTTCTCTGTGTGTAGTATGCACAGTATGTGTGGTGGGTGAGTGCATGTATCCATGCACACACATGCAGAAGCCAGAGCGGGACTCCAGGAACTGAGTTTCTCTCTGAACTGGAAGCTCACCACTATGGCCAGACTGGGTGGTTGACTGGGGAACTCTAGGCAGTTACAGACATGCCTGCCTCTCTATGTGGCTGGGGACTTGTACCGAGGTCCTGTTCGCAGAGCAAGTGCTCTTACCCACTGGGCTCCTCTCTAGCCCCGAGGAGTTTTAAGTAATTATAATGTTCAGTTCGCTAGGTAAGATTTTAGTGTTTAGTCTCTCTCACATTTCAGATTATGGGTTAATATAAAAAAAATCAAATTACATTAACATATCAGTTTAGGGTATTTTATATTTACACATTATTTTAACATTATACACACGATAAAATTTAAATGGAACAAACACGCAATGTGGTTTTCCTAACACCGAAGCCCCCAATCTCCCACGCCAGGACCATGAAATTATGGCAAATGTCACAATCTAATACAACTCCTAAAACTAATAAATGCATTATTAGAGATTTGTTACAGAAGAACATAAATGGAGCCCTCTTACTCTATGTATGTTTTCTAAAAACTCCTTTGGTAAGGACTTGTGTCATTACACTCCATTTTTTATGAAGAAAATCAATTTACAGCTTTTAGAAGTCATAATTTGCTGATTTATACATAATAAGCATGCACTTAAAAGTAGCTTTATAAGTGTAAGAAACTGCTATCTTCCAGGACAAACTTGCCCATGTGGAAATCAATGGCAAAACATACAAACAAATGTCAACTATTAACATTCTCAGTATGCTCATATCTAAACCTATCACTTATATTTTGAATATGTTATGATGGCAAGATTAAACACAGCTTTGTAAATATCAAGGTGCTAACTCAGAAGGCAAAGGCAGGTGATCTCTGAGATTGAGGCCAGTCTGGTTCACAGAGGGAGTTCTTGGACAGCCAAGGCCATACAGAGAAACCCGTCTCAAACAACGAACAAGGGTGCTAAATGCCCTGGGACAAAGAATATAAAGCACCCTACAAAGTAAAGTGACCTTAAACTCACTCTATAAGCACAGGCTAGCCTTGAATTGCAGCCCCGCCTCTGTCCCCACAGTGTTAGTATTACACACATGGACCACCACACTGGGCTTCATCTACCTTTAAAAGAGCTACACAATCCACATGCATAAAAGTATTAGAACTGCCAGGAATAAAGACAGGTCACGTGTCCAGTAAAACCAAACTCACTGAAGGGGCTAAACTAACAAGACAGATACCTAAAACCTCTGACATTCTTGGAAATTCAAAGGAAATCTCAGGAGGTAGCAGTTTCCCTTAGAGAAGACTATACTACGAATATGCCCCGAATGAAGTTGCAGTCACTCTGCTGATGAACAAGTAATTATTTTATACCGAAAGACTGAAAAGACCCTGCTCACCCCAAGTTCAGAGCTTTCTATTATTTCTGCCTCGTGTTCAGAGAAGAAAGGTAGTTCATGGACACGAAAGTACCAAGCTGGTCTGGCAAGGGGAAGCATGAAAAGTTAAAGAAGAGAAGTGAAATTATTTTGCCATCATTTTGATCCTATCTAAATGAAGACAACAACCTGGGTCACACTGCAGGCAACAGCAGCTCTGGGGAAAACTGCAGAGCTGAGCCTGCACTGCACCCCTCACCAGTCCTCTTCATGTTTCATACCCCGACATTTCTCCAATGTAAGGATGTTAAGATTTAACCTATTCTCCTAAGAATTAAGAGACCACTGGGTAGTGGTGGTGCATGCCTTTACTCCCAGCACTCTGGGAGGCAGAGGCTGTCAAATCTGAGTTTGAGGCTGCCTGATCTACGATGCGAGTTCCAGAACAGTCAGGAACACAGAGAAACCCTATCTCAAAAACCAAAAAGGTATTTTCTAAAATAAGCAGGGGAAGGACCTCAGTAGAAGTGCTTCAGGGCATGCTCAAGGAATGGCTTCTAAGCCCAGTCCAACAAAAGAACAAAGTGAACCAACCAAACAAACAAAATGCATCTTCTCAGAACAGGGCAAAGTTTAGTATTACTGACCAGCAGGTGATAAAAAGTCACTATTAACTTTCTTAGGAACAATGACAGTACCGTGGTTAACAAGTTACATGTTTCCTCTTCCTACAAAACACGAAAGTAATTAAGGGTAAAGTACTGTGAGTTCAATGCCAGCTTGACTAGAGAGTTCCAGGTCAACCAGGGTTACACAGTCAGACCCTGTCTCAAAACAAAAACAAAAACAAACCAAACATCAGGGCTGGAGGTAGAACTCAATGGTACATTCCTTTCTAAGCATGCATAAAAGCCAGACTCTAGGTTTAATCCCTTACACCAAAAGAAATAAAGAGGTTAATGAACAGAAAATGACATATAAAGCAAATACAGCAAAACTATAACAACACGTACTAAATAAGAATAAGTAAGGGGACAGGGCAGTGGTGGCACACAGCTTTAATCCCAGCACCCAGGAAGCAGAGGCAGGTGGATTTCTGAGTTCGATACCAGCCTGGTCTACAGAGCAAGTTTTAAGGCAGCCAGAAACTGTCTCGAAAAACAAATAAGAATGAGTATTGGGCATCATTCATTCACTGTCAACTTTTCAGTATATTTTAAAATTCATAGTACAAAATCTGAACACCTGAGTTTTTGTTTTGTTCAGGTGGTTGTTACTCCGGCTGTTTAGTTTGTTTGAGACTGTAAGATTTATTTCTTTTTATTTTAAGAGTGTTTTGTCAGAATGTATGTATGGGTAGCATGTGTGTGCTTTGTGCCAACAGAGGCCCAAAAAGGGAGTTACAGATCACAGTGAGTTGACATGTGAGTGCAGAGAACCAATTTGGGTCCTCTGTAAGAATGGCGAGCACTCTTAATTGCTGAGCCACCTCTCTGACCCTTTTTTATTTTAAAAATTAGTTATGTGTATGTATGCACACACATGTCCACATGCATTTGTGCCACAGTACACACATGACGGTCAAAGGATAACTTGGCAGAGTTTCCACCATGTGGGTCCTAGGAATCAAAACTGGGACATCAGGGTTGCTGGCAAGCACCTTTACCAGAGGAGCCAACTGAGCAAAAGACAGTATCTTGCTATGGAGTCTAGTCTGGCCTTGAACTCAGAACCCTAGTGCTGGGGTTACAGGCATAAAATAAGCTACCACATCTGGTATGAATTCTAATCTTTTGAATCTGATACAGTCAGGCCAGGTCACAATATGTGACATACAACCTCAGGTATCTGCTCATGCTCCTCGGTAATAGTGTTTACTGCAGGTTAACATAAGTATTACTATTTTGTAGCATAGTGTTTTTCTGCTTAAACTCAAAAGATAGCTCCTATCTCTGCAGCTGCTCCTAGGGTCAGTGAATACCTATGTAAACTTCAAGTAGTCTGTGCTCTGAGCCCCTTCCTCATTCATAAGGCTCTACTCCTTCAGAGTTCTGCTCTCTACCCTACCTTGACACACAGCTCTCCCTACCCCTTTCTAACCTGAAAGAGGAATCCTGGGAGAAAACTAGAAGGGCACAGAACTTTATAAATTATTCCCAATCTGTTATAAGGTATTATCTGTGCATTTCCAACTCAGTGAAACGAAACAGGACACAGGAGGGTCCTCTGCCCACACAGAATCTTCTGACAATGTGGGGTGACAGGGAGAGAGAGGACAGGATGGGGCCCAGAAGGAGGCAGGAGCACCCAGAAGCTCAGCTTCAAGAAATGTTCTCAAGCAGCTGCCTCTGTCAGTTGTCCTCCTCTGGAACTAGAGAGACCCGCCCCCTTCATACACTACACCCTTCCAAACAAACAAAACCTCACCGGTCTGTCCAACTCACTTCCTACCCTGTTCAACACCCTGCCCATACCCACATGACACACACCAGAGGGCAGAAACTAAAAATAACCAATCTGCATTCACCATTATTTAGCTGGAATGAACCTTTGCTCAAAGTTAAGGTTTTTGGCAATCCACAGCCAGGCTGTTCCTCTGGATAAGTGAACTAAGGGTCATTACAGAAACTTCTGTATTGACCAATTCAGTAAGAGACAAGATAGAGACGCCGTGACCTCTCTCCAATGACATCATTCATTCAAATGTACTAACTTATAAAAATGGAGAAATGTGGAAAAAAAGGGATAGAACAAAGGCTAAATATAGTACGTGTTTTTCAACGACAAAGTGTTTTTCTTTCTTTTTGAGACAGGGTCTCACTATACAGCCCTGGTTCTGCCTGGAACTTGGAGATCTACCTGCTTCTGCCTCCACATCTGGTCTTTTTTTTTTTTTTTTTTTTTTGCTTGCTTGTTTTTTAAAACAGGGTTTTTCTGTATAGTCCTGGCTGTCCCGGAACTCACTCTGTAGACCAGGCAAGCCTTGTACTCAGAGATCCACCTGCTTCTGCCTCCCGAGTGCTGGAATTAAAGGCATTCTGTGGAGCCGACACACTTGTAATCCCAGTACTTGGGAGGTTGAAGCAATAGGATCTTAAATTTGAGGCCAGTATGGGCTACAAGAGAACCTGTTAAAGGAAAAAAGAAAAAGAAGAAAGGGCTGCGCAGTGGTGGCGCACGGCTTTAATCCCAGCCCTCGGGAGGCAGAGGCAGGCAGATCTCTGTGAGTTCGAGACCAGCCTGGTCTACAAGAGCTAGTTCCAGGATAGGCTCCAAAGCTACAGAGAAACCCTGTCTCGAAAAACCAAAGAAAAGAAAAGGAAAGGAAAGGAAACAAGTCTCTGCTAAGGGTGCAAACTAGATAAACTCACAACTCAGCCTCGAGGGTAGAGGACTGACCCTGTAGCCGACTGGGCTAACAGTTGCTGGGACACAGAGACACTCCAGGTTAATTTATCCAAAATGAATCTATTTTTGCGTCAAGATCCTATTCCTATACTCTAAAGGCCAGCTCGTGACTTTCTTCCCTAAGTTCTGAAGGTGGGTGCTGCAGGATTTGGGCTTCCTTATGTCCTGGCACCAATCAGAACTCTTTTTTGCTTATGTCCCCAGCCAGGTTGTGGGTGTCTTCTGTCACCATCTGCTCTGAACACCTAGCATAATACTAAACAGACACCACAAAGTTTCAGTAAGGGCTTGTTTTATTAGGGCCTTCCCGGTCAATACATACACGGGCTTTGGGGACAATCATTCTCATACTTGAATCACTCTTGGATGACCAGGATAATAGTTCTCCCATGATGACTTAGGGTTTGTCCATGAGTCACAAGGTAAAATAACTCAGCCCTACAGCCAAGACTTATGCAAAGAAACTGGAATGACATTACTGTGCCATTTACTATGAAGCAAAACAGTTTTCCCTAAGTTGGCATGATGGCTCATACTTATAATCCCAGTACCCAGGAAGCAGAGGCAGGAGGACTGCCATGAGTTTGAAATTAGCCTGGGCTATGTAGAGAAACTTTTTTTGTTTGTTTTGTCTTGTCTCTAAAGACAGGGTTTCCCTGTGTAGTCCTAGCTATACTGGAGTTTGTTGCGTAGACCAGATTGGCCTTGAACTCAAGAGATCCACCTGTTTCTGCTGGGATTAAAGATATGCATCACCAAACCCTGTTTATGTAGTAAATTCTAAGTAAGTCTGGGCTACATAATAAGACCTGTGTCAAAAAACAAAGGACAACAAAACAATGGCTTGTGCCACACTCACTACACTTCCTCGTGACATGACTCTTTATACACAGATGCTTTAACCTGGCTGTCATCCTAGGTGTAAAGAAGTCATGATGTTTCCAAGTGTGATCAGAGGTCATGGCCCAAAATGTAGTAAAATGCTCGCTAAATCCAGTTCCCTGTATTTCTGCCATGGAATCAGAATAGGTCACGAAATATCCATAAAGGTGAGTAGTCAAATAAAAGTTATAAAAAGCTAAGTGATTTCTGCCATTCAATTGAAACTGAGAAAAGGATCACCTTGGCTAAGTAGGTGGGTCAGCATGGTTTAAGATCTCGGTAAAGCTCAGCAGCCGTGTGTGTCAGCAGGGTATGGAAAACCAATGCGACAGGAGGCGGGCTACCTAAGGCTTCCAGCTTGAACACTCTAGGAAGCTGAACTTGTCAGTCAGCCAGGACAACTTTTAATTTATCCACGTACTCCATTCCTGGAGAATTCTGTTCACCCTGTGATCCCTAGGCACTACTTGCTTTGTGTTACTTGATGCCAAAGACAGGTATCGTGAAGACACAGCTTACAAAACTCAAAGAGTCCAAAGGATCACCGAGAAAGCATGGTAGCAATACAGTTGTATCATACCTTATCAAGTCTTTTCAAAGCTATGGTGTTCTCAGTGTTTCTGAATTCCTAAAGCCCCGCTGCTCCTTCTTTCAGGCTAACAAGGAAGAACCTAGAGCATATATGTATGTGTGTGTGTGTGTGTGTGTGTATTTAAATCTGTTCCTGGTACAAACTCACTGATTTTGGAGTACATCCAGTTTCAATATCAACTGCATAAGATACAGCAACATGGCAGAAATCAGTATGTATGAAAACAGGATAAATGTCCTCATTATGTCATTAAAAATCTGGTCACTGCCGGGCGGTGGTGGCGCACGCCTTTAATCCCAGCACTTGGGAAGCAGAGGCAGGCGGATCTCTGTGAGTTCGAGACCAGCCTGGTCTACAAGAGCTAGTTCCAGGACAGGCTCCAAAAAAAAAAAAAAAAACAAAACTGGTCACTATACCCGTGCCTTTTCTCCAACGATTCAGATTAAAAAGTCTCAGGTTTTCAGACTCCTGATTGCTTACAGGTCGCGAGTCCCCGGTCTAGGTCTATTCGATCTTTTTTTCTGAGTTCATTCTTCCCTGCGTGTGATTTTAATAGTTTTAGGTCCTTGCTGAGAAACCTCACTGGAATGTATTACGTTTTCTTCAGGAACCATTCAGGTTTCCTGGATTTGCTTCTCCTTTACCTACTGTTCAGGTTGCCTCCTCTGTAAGAGGAACGATAAAGAAAGAAAATTCGCGGACTTGGGTGGGCAAGAGTGGAGTGGTGGTGTCTGTGCTCCGCGGATGGATCGAGATTTCGGGCTTTTGAGGCAAGACAGCACCAGAGGGGCCACATCCCGGCTCCGGGAAACTACAGATGAACGCACAGGTCCTCTAGCCTTCGGTTACCCAAAACACGGGCGCTGCGCGGGACCCTCCCAACAAAGTCACCGCACCCAGATCAAGACCTCAGCGACGATCGTCCTCAGTACCGAGGCCGGACGGAGACACCCGGTCGCCTTCCCACCCCCCAACCCGAACTCACAGCCAGTCTCCTTCTTGATCTCCTCGAGCTCTTCGTCCCGCAGTAACGTGGAGGCCCGAGACCCCATCACCGTTGGCGGCGGGTGCTCCTCCGGGAGCGGCTGCGCCAGACGCTACGGCGGCGAGAGGGAAGGAGGGAGGGAAGGGCCAGGGGTCAAGAAGGGAGAGGGCACTGTTTCTTCTGCGGCCCGGGGAGGGAAACCAGGGGTGGCGCGCGGGGGAGGGCAGTCCGACAGCAGCCAATCGGGAGCGAGGCCGCGCCCTGCGCAGGCGCCAACGTCAGAGCTTGGCGCTCGAGCCCGGAATGAATCAGCCCCGCGGCTGCAAGAGTCCAAAGGGAGACAGACCCCGCCCCCGGAACCCCAGCTGCCGCCGGCCTTAAAAGGGCGACGCCACTGTGGCGCTGGCGACCACAGTTAAAAGGGCAGTGCCGCCTTGCCACCGTTTGCCGACAAACCAGAGGGCAGGTTCACTGCGTAACCCACAGGTTTCTCTGAGGACCCTCGCACCAGGCATCCCATCTCACAGGTGACAGGAACTGAGGGGAGAAACAAAACCGACATAACAAGTGGGGAGTCCCAGGGTGGATCCCCAGACTGGGCCCGGCGCAGTCTTTCCTCCTTCAGCCTCTCCCTCCTACTTCCTCTCCTTCTCCCACTGTCCAGCGGCCCCGGAGTAGGTTGACGTTGGGGTGGGGCCGCCCGCCGATTGGCTGCGTCTTTCCGGCGCTCCCTCTCCCGGCCGCTGGAGGGCGCTGGCACCCGGCTGGGGCCGCCCGCCGATTGGCTGCTCTTTCCGGCACTCCCGCCCCCGCCCGCTGGAGGGCGCCGGCAGTCAGCTGGGGCTGCAAGCTGATTGGCTCCTCTGGAAAGCCGCAAGGCGCGAGCGAGGGTAGTAGGGTCTGCGCTTTCAGCGGCTGGCGTTGTTAAGCTTTTCAGTTTGTGTCAAGGCTGTGCCAAGATAACTCCCAGCCCCTCTTCAATTCAAGGAGCTCGCCATCTGACTGAGATTAAGGTCCAGATTTCCCAAATTTCTTTGCCCAGGGGTGGGTGGGGGTGGGTGGTAGAGGACCCTAAAGGTGAGAGGGTGAGGGAGAGTAAATACCTTGAGCAGGGACTGTCATTTATTTATTTGAAATTTGTCTTGTTTTTAAAATGGTAATTTTTAAACCGTGAGCCAGCACTTGTTAGGTGAAAGGGAAGTTGCAGGTTGAGCAAAGTCTAAGAAATACTGGGAAATCCTGTTTAAAGGCTGCCCCGCCCCCCTCATCCCAGGAGGTGGAGGCTAGAGAATTAGGAGTTTATGCTTCAGCCTAGAAGCGGGGGAAATGGTTTCCTTCAGTTTTCCAGAAGATACCTGGCTGGTCTCGGCCTGGGATTACACACTTGAGCCTCCATGCTGGTCCTACATTTTATTCTCTCCCTCTCTCTTTTCCTTCTCCTCTTTCATCTCTCTCTCCCTCCATCTCGTTTCTATTGTTTTATTTTTGTTTTTCGCTACTGGGCCTTTCTGTGTACCCCTGGTTGTCCTGGAACTTACTATGTAGACCAGGCTGGCGTCGAACTCAGATGTTTGCCTGCCTCTGCCTCCTGAGGGCACCACCACTGCCCAGTTTGCGTTTTATTTTTATGACATTTTTTTGTTTGCACTAATGAAAAGATTAAAAGCCGCATGTTTGTATACAGCCTCTCAAATGCGGCATCACGTGTCTTGTCCCCTCACCCCTTTGTTTAGAACCAGCTTGAGAGATGGAAGAAGTTAATTAGTAAATTAATTATTACTCAGTACCCAGATATCTTAGTCCCTTTTCCAAATGACCTTAGGCTCCCAGCTTCAGTTACTTAGGCCATTGCAGCTCAGCCTGAGTCCCCAGGGCTTCCCTGCCCACTTGATTACTAGTCTGACTCCGATGTTTTCATAATTAACCCCTCTCATTTCACCCCATCTGAGATCAGCCTTCCTAAGCTGATAGTAACATTTGGATATGGCAGTTTAAGAAGCCCATTAATTGTAGTATGGAACTCTTAATGTCAGGCATATATACATAATCCCCTGCTCAGCCAGCCTAGCAGCTCATCTCGGCATCCCAACCTTTTTTTCTTCCTAACTTTCAATGTAAGTTTTGATGACTGTATCCAACTAAACCCTTTGTGTGAGGTCTGGTGGCTGATGTCTGTAGTCACAGCACTGAGGGAGCAGAGGCAGAAGAATCTTCACAAATTCAAGGTCAGCATGGGCTAGATAGGGCAGACCAGGCCAGCCAGTGCTACTCAGGAAGAACTGTCTAAAAACAAAAGAAAACAAAAAACAGGAAAAAAAAATGTCTTTGCTATGTGGGTTTTTTTTTTCTCTGATTTGTTTTAACCTTTAAAAATGGTATTTGTGTGCTGGGAGGTGGCGAGGCACACCTCTATCCCAGCACTCGGGAGGCAGAGGCAGGCAGATCTGAGTTTGAGGCCAGCCTGGTTTAACAGAGTAAGTTCCAGAACAGCCAACAGCACACAGAGAAACCCTTTCTTGAAACAAACAAGCAAAAAAAGTGGTATTTGTGTCTGAGAGGGGTGTGTGTATCTCACCAATGGAGGCAAGAAGAGGAAGAGGGCCTCCTCTCCCCTGAGCTGGAGTTAGAGGGGCTGTGGGCACTGAATGTGGATGCTGGGAAGCACCAAACTTAGGGCCTCTGGAAAACAAAAGGCACTCTTTCTTTATTTGTTTTTATTGAGCTATATATTTTTCTCCACTCCCCTCCTTTCCTTCCCTCTTCGCTTCTACCCTCTCCTGTGACCCCTATGCTCCCAATTTACTCAGGAGAGCTTGTCCTTTTCTTCTTCTTATGCAGATCCATGTGTGTCTCTGTTAGGGTCCCCATTGTTGTGTATTTTCTTTGGGGTTGTGGACTGTAGGCTGGTTTTTCTTTGCTTTATGTCTAAAAGCCACTCAGTTACCTCACTCAGTATGGTTTTTCTAGATTATCCGTTTGCCTGCAAAATTTAAAATGTCATTCTTTAACCACTGTGTAATGCTCCATTGTGTAAATATACTACATTTTCTTTATCCATTCCTCGGTTGAGGGACATCTAGGTTGTTTCCAGGTTCTGGCTCTTACGAGTAATGCTGCTCGTTGAGCACCAGAAAGCACTCTTAATTGCTGAGCGTCTCCTGCCCCATTTGGTCCATCTTTCATTTTCTTACTTCCTAAGCATTTCATAACTTTTCAATTTTGAACAACCTAGCCTTATTAATGTAAGTATTGTCTATGTCACAGGGCTGCAGAGATGGCTCAGTGAGTAAGAGGGCTTGCTGCTCAAGCAGGAAACCTCAAATCAGATCCCAGCACCCACTCAGTCAGCTGGTGTGACCTCACACTAACATGAAATCCCAGTGCTATGGAGGATAGAGACGACGACCCCAGCGTCAGTGAGAAACCCTATCTCAGAGGAATACAGCGGAGGGTGATAGGTCCTCTGTTTGCTCATCTGTGGGTTAGGTTCTGGTTGGTGCAAGTATCAATATTTTTTTTTTAAGGTTTGGTTTTTCGAGACAAGGTTTCTCTGTGGTTTTTGGAGCCTGTCCTGGAACTAGCTCTAGTAGACCAGGCTGGTCTCGAACCCACAGAGATCCGCCTGCCTCTGCCTCCCGAGTGCTGGGATTAAAGGCGTGCGCCACCACCGCCCGGCAAGTATCAATATTTTTGAAAGCCCTTCCTTGAAGTATAAAAAGATAGCTGGGCATGGTGGTGCACGCCTTTAATCCCAGCACTTGAGAGGCAGAGGCAGGTGAATCTTAGTGAGATAGAGGCTAGCCTGGTTTACATAGTGAATTCCAGGACAGACAGAGCTACATAGTGAAACTCTCTCTCAAAAATACAAAAACAAAGCAAAACAAAAAACAGGCAAATTAAACAACCAGAATGAAACAAAAAGCACAAGAAACACAATGTCCATAAAAACACAAAATTGGAAACTGTAATATAAAAGTAAAAGTCCTGGAAGGTAAAAAATTCCCAGACAAAGCAATAAAAGAAAATATTTCTGAAAATACCACTGAGTTCATTTTTCATAGGCCATGTACTGCTGAATACAGGGTTTGGCCTTAATACAGGGTTTGTATCCCCAGTGAGGCTCTATTGGAGAAGCTGATCTGATCTTTCCTCTGTGAGCTGTTGTCAGCTGGAGATGGGAGCTTGTGTCCACTTCCCCTCTCACCGCGGGGATCCCATCCAGCTCGGACCTGTGCAGGCCCTGTACTTGCTGCCAAGATGTGTGAGTTCATATGTCCCTCAGTCTCCTTGTGTCTAGAAGACACTGTTTCCTTGATGACATCCATCCCCTCTGGTCTTAAAAATCTTTCAGCTTGGGGCTGGAGAGATGGCTCAGAGGTTAAGAGCATTGCCTGCTCTTCCAAAGGTCCTGAGTTCAATTCCCAGCAACCACATGGTGGCTCACAACCATCTGAAATGAGGTCTGGTGCCCTCTTCTGGCCTGCAGTCATACACACAGACAGAATATTGTGTACATAATAAATAAATAAATATTTAAAAAAATCTTTCAGCTTCCTCTGTTCCTCTACTTCACTCTCCATGCCAATCTTACAAGCAAAAAAGGTTAATCTCATCTTGCATATAGCTCTACAGTTTTGAGTTTCCCACATGAATTAAAATTGTGGAGCTGGAGAGATCAGTGCTTAAGATCTCTTACAGAGGACACGGGTTTAGTTCCCAGCAACTGTCAGTAACTCCAGTTTCAGGGGATCTGGTGTTCTCTTCTGGCTTCCTTAGGCGCGGAACTAATGTACGTGCATGTACCTGGAGGCAAAACACCTGTCCACATAAAATAAAAATAAATAAAATTGTACTTGCTGTTGTTCTTTGCATTCATTCTAAAGTAATGAACGTAACAAGACCACTGTTCTTATCCCTTAGAACAGTGGTTCTCAACCTTCTTAATGCTGTGGCCCCTTAATACAGTTCCTCACAATGTAGTGACCCCCAACCATAAAATTATTATTGTTACTTAAGAACTATAATTTTGGTGCTGTTATAAATTGTAATGTAAATACCTGACATGTAGAATATCTGATATGTGACCCTGTAAAAGGGTCATTTGACTCCTCCCCCCACAAAAGGATTACAGCTCACAGACTGAGAACTGTAGTAATAGGGGCGGCGGGGCTGCGTCCCCAACACCCCAGCTGCCTGCCCGGCTAGCTTATGCCCCAAAATAACAACACACAAACTGTATTCATTTAAACACTGCTTGGCCCATTCTCTTCTAGGCTAATTCTCACATATTAATTTAGCCCATTTCTAATCATCTGTGTGTAGCACCCCAAGGTGCGCTTACCGGGGAGATTCTAGCCTAGTCCATCCTGGGTCGGAGCTTCATCCCGGGAGCGGGGCATGGCGTCTCTCTCTGAGGCATCTGCTCCCGACAGAGCTGTGGAGTCTCTGACCTCACTTCCTCTTCCTCCCAGCGTTCTGTTCTGTTTACTCCTCCCACCTATCCTCTAACCAATAAAATGGGCCAGGGCAGTTCCTTTATTAGCCAATGACCTTCCTCCATCAGAGAACCATGGCCTTAGAAATTTGGAGAAATGCTAATAACCAAACTTTGGAAACTGTTT